ATATACGATGCACATACATACTTACCTTTTCGCATTGCGTGGGCGTACAGGTGATTTGCGCATAAACTTTGGATTCTGCAAATGATTCAATACAGTTTTGTTATGAGTATGCTTTAGTTGTGTATATCTATACACATACATATATAGGTTTATATTTGCAAATAAATAAATGTGTATGCTCATAGAAATTTTGAATGAATTTTAGCAGGAATGTGCGCTGTGCTTATCTATATATGTACATATATACATACACAATGTACATAACATACATACATACATATGTATATAAAAGGATTTGTGCTGAATGAATAACAGCCTAAAAATCTAACCGTAAATACCTGAAACTTGGAAATTGTGCTCTGCATAGCCATGTTTCGTGCTTTAAGAGGAGACCAGGATGGACAAAATCATCCAAATACTCAGATATTGTAAGCCCTTTGCTTCATCGTTTAGCTTTCCCTTCAAATATCGCTACTGTAAGTGTAAAAGTGCTGCCGAAGACCCGAATGTGTATATTTCTCGACGTTCTCAAGAGGTGGGATTTTCTTATGGCACATTAAGGCGTATTTTGCACTTGGACACCTACATCCATATAAAGTCCAGCTGACACACCATTCACAACGCCGTACATAGTACGTCTACAACCAGCCGTTTTTTGGAAAAATAAATTCTTTAGAGACGTGGTCTGTGGCTAACATTGCTTACTGTCATTCGGAAGGCTCGGGTTCAAATCCCCGTGCGACCAACAACCAAAAGCTATGGAAAATTAATTTAAATAAAAAATAAAGTTAAATTTTCTAATTGCGGTCGCCCCTCGGCAGGGAATGTCAACCACTCCGAGTGTGTTTCTGACATGAAATTAAGGGTCCTCATAAAAAAGAAATGCCATCAGGCGTTCGGAGGCGGCATATTAGATGCCTCCATTTATTGGAAAATTCATCACCACGCAGAACCACAAATTGTAGGATGAGCTCGGGCGAAAATCGCGTCAGCGGTTACAAAAGCGCCAATTATATATACATATATATATATATATGCTAAGAAGTGGTCGCAAACTACCTCAAACGGATCGAGGCTTGTAAAAGTTGTGAGGCGGTCATTGAATGATGTAGACGATGTTTCACATACAATGCCAAAGTTTAAACTTTTAATAAAAAAGTTTTTCATAAAAGAAATATTTTCAACGCATTTTATTTTCGTTTACTTTGGAACCCGTAAAATGCATATCCCTGTATTTTTTTTTGTGTAATATTTCGTAAATTATAATTATAAAAACTAATATCATAATTTTTTATTTTCAATTCTTTTGATTTTATTTTTAATTGCTTTCCTCTTTTATACCATATTTTATTAATTTTTTTTAATTATCGTGTGACTTATATATATATATATATCCTCCCAAAATTGATTTATTTTTTGAATTAATTAATTTATTATTTATATTGTGGAGTTTTGAACTAATGTCATGGTTTTTCGATAGCAGACAGCATCACATTTCTTTTATATTGTACATACACACATACACATACATACATTTCATGCAGATCTCCTCTTCCGCCCAATTCGCCAAATTAATGAAATGCGGAAAAGGACATGTCTTTCGTTAGAAAGTTTATATGTATATACGTACGTATATGACAATTTTTATGTGTCAATATGTCTGCATACATATGTATATGTGTACCTACATCATTATCAGTAACAATAATAAAAATGCTCGTTGCATTGCATACAAGTCATTGAAATGATTTCAGATGCAAGACGGTGATAAACACCAGATTATATATACACATACTTACATATGTACGTACACATATACTTATACTTGTATAATGATGCTTACATGTGTTATGCAATCTCCAAACGTCATCCAGCAGCTGTTCGAAGAGCAATGTGTACCCCACAACTAAAAAAAAAAAAAACTAAATAAAAAATAAAAAAAAAAAAAAATAAAAAAAATAAAAAATAAATAAAATGATCGGCTGTACAAAAATAGAATTAATTAAAAAGAATTTAATGCGCAATAAATCTAAAATACTAATAATATTAATAGTCAATCGAGTAACTTATTATTTAACAAGTAAGCCACACTGAGCTGGGGTGGCACCGAGGTTTATTTGTGCTCAGTCTTTTGAAAACCAAGCCATTGTGAGATCCTACGCTTTGTGGAAAAGTATTTTTTAACCTCAAACTTTCACTTTCACAGGCCTATTCTGTCGAGGTAACAAAATTTACTTTGGTATTAAAATTTACCATTCAGTAAATTTTGTTACCATTTCGTATTCTGAGTTCACTGTCAACCTGTAAATTTTGTTACCAGCGAAATAGGAGGTAACAAAAATATCTGCGGTCTGATTTTGTGTTGTTAGTTTGAGAAAAAATGAAAAACCAAAACGGGTAGGCATATTTTAGGCCTGGAATTCATTGAAGATGAGGAAAAAAGTGCAAAAGGCAGTATTTTAAGCAGTTTTCGAGACTAAAAAAAGGCCTTTAATTTGTAAGATAACGTTTTCATTCAGCTTTTTTTGTTTTCCAGGCATATTTTCCATAATTATGTTCAAATATTTATGATTTAATAAGCAAATTAATAAAAATTTTTCATTTTTTTTGTCCACCGTCTTCCATTTCCATGTGAATATTTTTCTTTTTACTTTATCAACTGGCAAATGTAATTTGACATGGACGAAAAAAGCAGTGCTGCCAAATTTTTTCAAAAATTGTAACCAGTTCGCCAGAATGCCAAATTCAATTTCGGGTGTTAAAGAAAAGTAACAAAATTTAATTTACCGGTATCAGTGAGAATAGGCCTGTCAATGTGAACATAGTGCTCTGCAATGGCATCCGGACGAACCGTTGCACGAGCGTACATACACAAACAACCAACCAACAACCAAACAACCGTTAGCTGCACAAAATTAATACACCTTATGTACACTAACCAATAAAATTAATCATTCATTCAGTCAATCATTCAATCATTCAGTAAGTAAGTAAGTAAGTAGGTAAGTAAATTGGATTGGGACTACCTCAATGCCTTAAAAGCAATGTATAAAATGAACGTTAATTAAAACAAAGAATATTAAACAACGCAATTATTGAATGATTTTCTTCCAAGGCAAAAAGAAAAAATTAAAAGCGTATGTCGTTGAAATGCCTGTGTATATACATATGTATTTATGTATGTGTGTTACAACTATAATTTGAAGTATGATTTTTCATTATCATTTTTTTTTTTCCAATTATACCAAGGTATATCGACCAACAGCTCGCAGCTGTGATTTTTCAGAAAAAAAATTGATCTGTTGACAATTTGTTTTTACATATATATGTATGTTCCATAGACACTTGTATCTACACATGTCATCTCCTTCGACCAGTCAAAAGTGACAATAAAATTGTGCAATGTGCTGGAAGTTTTTGTTGCCATGAAGAAGGCGTTGAAGGGAACTCACAGGCGGGGTTACAAAATACACAAAAAAAATAGCGAAAAATGACAATAATGAAATGAAGATATAATTTAAAAAGTTGAAAATAAATAAATAATTAAAAAATATTTGTTAAAAACTAGAGAAAATAAAAAAACAGGTGCATAAGAAAATAGTCAAATCCTAAAAAGGTCAAAAAATCAAATTTAAACAAAAAATATCACTAAAAATAGTTGTATTTTCTTCTTATACTTCATTTTCCTGGTTTCTTTTGAGCATTATAAGAAACAAAGGAAATCAATACAATATACAATTAGATTGAGAAAAAATTTTACGGTTTATTTATATTTATTATTATTTATGTGAACCCACAATTAATTATTATGCATTTCTCTTTAAGGTCTTCATTTAACGTTATCACTACGATTTTCAATCTATTTGTAATTACAATACCATCAACTTGCTTTGTTATGTACATTATACTATGTACGGGTATGTATGTAGGTATAGTCATGTCCAAATGATTTATTTAAGTAGTCATTTAGGCAAACATACATACATACATATTGTATATGCTCGTTTCGTTCTTGCTTATTATTGTTTTGAAATAATTATCTTATTTTTCAATAATCAAATTTGTGTATGTACCTATATATGTATGTATATAGCTATGCATATATGTACACATGCATGTAATTAATTATAAGAACTGTATGGACTTTCTACGTTACGCTTCTTTGCCAATTTGACTGCAAGACTCTGAAAGGTTGGTTGTTGGACTGACTGACTAGCTTCGCCGGCTGACTTCAAATCGTGTGTATATGTTTGATTTGTGCTTTTATAAAATATAAATATAATAATAAAACATATTAAATAAATGTGTCCTCATTTTCTGCACATACATACATATGTATGTATATTCTTTTATAAATATGAAATTGCCTTTGTATAAAATCATGTGAAACACAAATATTTACCAGTACAGTTTAGTGATTACTACATATATTATATACTACGTATATACATATATATGCAAGCATTCAAATGAAAAAATTATATAACGAGTTTTACATTTTTCAACCCAAACTGCAGTTTAGGACGTCTCTCTATATAACAAAAGTAAAAAAATAAATAATAAATTTATTAAATAGAAAATTAAAAAAAAATTAAAAAGAAAGTTAAATTAAATTAAATAGGAAAATCAATTAAAATAATAATAAGATTAAATATAATAGTAAAAACAAAACTTTAAAAAAAAATTAATAACTTAAAATATAAAAGTAAAATAAAATATAAAAATTAAAAATTAAAAAAAAAAATAAAATATGAAAATAAAAAATAAAAGTAAAATAAAATAAACAACTGAATGAATTAAAAAATAAATGAAATAATTTATATTAATAAATCAAAAGCAGAAATTCCTCTTCAAACTTTGTTCGGGCTTTAATTCGTGTATTTCCTATTTAAAAAAAAAAAAAATTACCACATACTTACGTGTACGTCATTTCTAAAGGCATAATCTATTTTAGTATTAATAAAATTTTGTCACAAAAAACAAAATTATTTATTTTCCAGAGGCATCAGCTCGACAGTGCGACGTTGCATTGAAAAGGAGACTGGCAAAGAGTTTGCCGCAAAAATCATCGATCTTGGCGCCGCTACAGAAGCTGGCGATACCAATCCATATCATATGCTTGAAGCGACCAGACAGGAAATTTCAATACTCAGACAAGTTATGGGGCATCCCTATATAAGTGAGTATTACATTGAAGTAAAAGAACTAATAAATTTATAATTCTTTACCACTTTGCCATTTTCAGTTGATCTACAAGATGTCTTCGAGTCGGACGCTTTTGTATTTTTAGTATTTGAGCTGTGTCCGAAAGGCGAACTCTTCGATTACCTCACCTCGGTGGTTACATTATCAGAGAAGAAAACGCGCACAATAATGCGACAAATATTTGAAGGTGTCGAATATATACATGCAAAAAACATTGTTCATCGTGATTTGAAACCCGAAAATATACTACTCGATGAAAATCATAATGTTAAGATAACAGATTTCGGTTTCGCGCGGCAACTGAAGGGTGATGAGAAGTTGACAGGTGAGAATGAACGAAAAATTTAAAGATTTGTTTTTTCTTGGCCAAATATTTAATATGTAACCATATAGATCTCTGTGGCACACCTGGCTATTTGGCGCCGGAAACGTTAAAATGTAATATGTTTGAGGGCTCGCCGGGTTACTCAAAAGAAGTTGATATGTGAGTAAAATTATATTAGCTGATTATTTATTATATTTTATTATATTTTGTCGATACTCACAAGTACCGTTGTCTGAAAATTTTCAAGAACAGATGATTTCAGGAAGAACGCGACTCTGACGACAAATCTCGTCGACGTTCCTGGCTTAGATACGTATATTTCAATCTAAGCCGGAGAGCGCAAATAAAACAGATATACATTATTTTTTGCTGTTGTTAGTTTTTTTTTAGTACATTTTTTAGCCGCTGAAGCGATTTTCAGCCCCATAGATTTCTTTGCTTAACTTACTCAAATCTGTATACTTAAACAACTTATATTTATGTAAATAATATTTTCAGTTCAAAGTGTATAAATATCAAAATTAGCATTAGCAGCTGATGAAATTTGAAAATTTTAAAAGTCTCTCTGATGTTAAAAAAATGTTTATAACATGAAACCACAAGTATTTCATTATTTTTCAACAATTTTTGTTTGTTTCTTTTCTTTCTTGACTTGCTGAATCACACTTTAGATTCTTTTTTCGTCCTTGACAAAGTTTTATTATAATACTTTTTTTTTAATTTTTAATTATATTAAGTATATTCGATTATTTCATATATTTATTAATTTAATTCTTTTTTGCTTGCTTGTCCATCAGTTGGGCGTGTGGCGTGATCATGTTCACATTACTCGTTGGGTGTCCGCCGTTTTGGCATCGCAAGCAGATGGTCATGCTGCGTAACATAATGGAGGGTAAATATAGTTTTACCTCGCCGGAATGGGCTGATATATCAGGTACTATATGCAATACTCTAAAAAGAAAGTAAAAAATTATTAATCGCGTTTTGATATTTTGTAAATTACAGAGGATCCAAAAGATTTGATACGCAAATGCCTAGTCGTTGATCCATCAAAACGTATAACAGTGAAAGAAGTATTAAAGCATCCGTTCTTCAATCAGATGGTAAGTCAAGTTAATTATTTGTATTCCATATATTACATTTATAGATATTAAAAAATAAATTAATCGAAAGAGTGCAATTTTTAGCGGAAAGAAAAGAAAAAAACGCACATAAATTTGCTGCTCACCCCTCTACTTTTTCTCACAGTATATAGTTCTGTATTTTGCTTAAGGGTAAGACAAATTGCAGTTTACCCATGAGTATTGCAATTCTTACTAGTGAAACACAACAATATATAAATTGTTTAGTAAATATGTTTATTATGATGATAATGGTATCTCTTTCTGTCTCTTTCTACACTTATAAACCAGTAAAGAATTATATATTTTGAACCACAGTGCGCATTTGATGGCTACTTTTTCGATTACGCTTTTTTTGTATGCTATTTTTTTCGTTGATATACATTAGACATACATTTTTTTAACGGTACTCGAGGTTATATATACTTTTCTAATTATTAGCACTTTTAATATAATATATAATTTTTTTTTTACTATTTTATTTCTCGATAAATAATTTTTAAATACTACTGGCCCATAGCTGATTATATTTTCGGTTTGAAAAAACTATTTTTTTTTTGTTTTCACATAATTTCTAACTATGATTTCCTTTCTTTTTTCTTTCATCCAACCACTACCCTTCACATATTGAAATATTTGAAATAAACAAAATTCCAAACCAATTCGGCTATCGTACATAAATTGTGTGATTTCCAAATTTATTCACACGTCTCTATTTGAACGATAACAACTATTAAATTAATCGAATTAAATCGAAAATCGAAACAAAATTATGCAAAACAAATTTTATTGGGAAAACAATTAATATCAATTAAAAACCAAAAAAAAATCTTAACATTTAATAATCAACCAAACGACCCATCGACAATTTATCAAACGTTCCCACGTTTACAATATTCTCGCTAAAGTTATTCGAGCAAAATATCGATGGCCTGAAGCGCAGCCTATCCACCAAATCTAGGAGAATGAGTCGCATCAATGACATTGCAATGGTAACGAAATGTTCCTGCTTAACGCAGCGAAACAAAAACAACATTCATAAATTTAACAACAACATTATTAATACTTACTGTTACTTTGCTAATATTATAAATAGTACTACTACAACAACAAAGAGACAAAGAGTGATTGTGTTGATCTTCCTACACTACCAAATTTCCTATTATATTTATTAAAATTAATCTAAATTCTGAATAGCTGCTCTAACTACTTACATACATATATTATATGAATTTTATTTATTTATTTATGTATCCGCATTGATTGTTCTCCTAACAACATGAGTTTTGTTCCATAATATTAAACAAACAAAAAATCAAAGGACTAAAAAGCAGTACATTGCACGCGAAATGAGGGCAAAAAACATAAAAAAAATAGATATATTAAAAAAAAAACAATTCTAGTGACTAATTTTTGAATTTGCAATATAAAATTTAAATTGATAAAAATACTAAAAATTTAAATAAAAGTTAATAATAAAAATAAACATAAATATATAAAAATTGAGACACATAAGTAAAAAAACATTATTTAAAAAAAATATAAATTATTGATATATATAAACACATAAATATAAAGGGGTAATTATTATTTTTTATAAGTGGAAAAAATTCTCTTATTAAAATAATTAAAAAAAAATAAAAAAATAACATAAAATTTAATATAATTTCTTATGTATTGAAAATGAATTTCTTTAATCGATCTAATATAAATAACTGTAAAAGTTCTTGTATTATTTTTCCACTTCCTCCTCAGTGCAATGTGCTCTTTCTTTGTTTGCAACCTTCCTTTACATGCCATTTGAGTTAGAATGTTTTTTTTTGTTACTTGCATTTTTATTGTGTTTCTTTTTTGTATGCGTTTTCTTGTTGTTTATTTTGTGCGCGTCCCATTTTACAAATATTTTATATGTATATGCATTTATAAAATTTTAAATAATTTAATAACTACAAATAAGATTGAAGTTTAAGTGCAACACACAACCAATATTGATTTTTGTTTATTAAAATGCTTTGTTTTTTTATATAAATTTTTCCTTTTTGTTTTATTTTTGCATGTTTCATTTGTTTGGAATTTTTTTATTGAAATAAAAGCATGGTCTAAATCAAATAGCTATATATTTCTTTTATTACTGTAAGAAATTGTTAGTTTTTACAACACTAAAGGTGCATATATAGATTTAATACTAAATTGAATTAAATTTCTTAGATAATTAAATAATTTTGGCAATAGGGGAAGTACATATATTTATTTCTTTTTTAGAAGAAACACAAAAAGAACAAAACAAGATAAATGTATATGTTAGCGCAAAAAATAAAAAAATACATAAAAATTACACAAAAATGATAAGTAAATGTTTCCTAAAAAGAGTACTATCAAAAATGAGTTTGGATTTCGAGATTTTGTATTCAACATAATCTATTTAACAAATATGTTGAATATATCGATCGCGAATCTTGTTCAAAAACTTTAGAAAATTAATTAAAATTACAAAATTATTTATTAAATATAAATAAGGCATTAAATACCGTATATCAAGTACATTTTTTTTTGCTGCGTTGATATCTTAGTAATCGGCGAAATGAAAAATTAATTAAAAATTTATTTATTTAAGCATTTTATTTTTGTTTTAATTTTATTGCAAAGAAATCATAAATCACCATTTTCCGACTATTATTCATCTATTAAAAAGTGCCAGCTCAACAAAGTGTTAGTTTATATTAAAACAATGTAAAAAAGTGTAAGCTTAACACAATAAATTTAATATAAGAGACTGTCCATTAAAAGAAATGCATAAAGAATGCTGACCACAGCTTCTATGTTGTTGAAACAACAACTACTATTTGGAACTTTTATTATCTGCGCGAAAAATCAACGTTGGTATTATTCACAGTATCTCCAGATTTCGCTCTTATACTACGCTCCGCTCACACAACCAGATTGTTGAGACATTCTGAAAATATTTTACAAAAATTGTTAATTGTGAAAAACCGACTTTACTCTGAGCATCTCCCTCCCATGTGCGTTTATTCGTCAGTTTTTATTGAGAAACACTTTTTTTTATATTTGTATGTATAAATGAAAAAATATTTAGCAAAATTGTAATTCAAAATCAGCAAATGTTTGTACGCACATTTCTAATTGTCAACCAATTTTCTTTGACCACCTTTCCCTCTTTCACACATACACAACCAAACAAACACACACACACACTGTCCCACCAACCGTCTTTCTTTTCTCTCTCTCTCTCTCTCTCTCTTTTGTTTCTGTCTCTCTCTTTATTTCGATTTACTTTTAGGTTCTATGCTCTGAACCGTCGACAGATGGCCGCACAACTTATCAGCTGAAATCGCAAAATGTACGCAACACGACGCTCAGCAATGGCAATCGGTTATATTATAATCCTAGCATTACAAGGGCGCAGACGACGACGACAACGTCAACAACAACAAACAACTATGGCTACAATAATCATCTACAACAACAACAACAACAAGAACAACCACAGTCAAAGAACTCTAACAATTATTACAACAACAGCCGCAAGAGCATGACAAACTTGTACTTAAACCAACAGCAACAACAAGCGAATTTGAATAGCAATAATATTAGTAATAGCAACAATTATACTCCATCCACAAACATGACTACTTCCAACAGCAATTGCACGAGCATGGAACAAACAACATACCACAGCAATAATTATAATAATAATTATAATTATTATCAAAGTAATGGTAATAATGTTTATAACTATTCCGCAACGGCTGGTCCGTCCATACCATCAACAACAATAACAGCAACAACAACAACATTCCTAGCAACAAATACTACAAATAAAAACAGTATTGCCAATGCGGTAACTACAGCAACATCGACGTCAATTGCGTTGCCGGAACAACAGCAGCAGCAACAAGAATATGAGCAACAGGTGCCAACAATCCACCGCTACGATTATACATATTGCAAAAATCATGAAAATTTAAATAACCAACATCAACAAGAGCACATTACACACACACACAACTATCATAATACAACACAATCCCATCAAAATGAACATCAGCATCATCACCACCACTTAAAACCCTATTTGCATTATTGCGACTGTCAGCACAGCCGCGTGCAGTGCGTAGAGCAACAACCACATAAGAATACATATACATTAACCGGTGCAAGCATATCATCATCACCATCATCATGCAACAACAACACATCAGCGACGAATCATCCATCCTCAGCGGAGATTTTGGAAAATGCGTCGGCGGCGCCACCAAACGATTCGTCACATTGTTGTGTTGAGTCCCACCAAAATTACTATGAACAGGTTAGGCGGCTAAGTGAGAAAATTGCTTTCCATTGGGTTCTCACTGGTGGCTAGAAAGAAATTAATTTTTAGAACAATTCTATGGTTGGAAATATAAGTTTTCGCAGATACTTGCAACTATTCTGCGAGTTTTAGTGTGAAAAGTAAAGCTGGAGAGCATTTTAAAATTGAGTATTATATTTCAAATTTTTACTTCTGTTGTTAACTATATTTTTCAAAAGTAGTTGTAGAAGTAAATAATTATAATTTAATAATATAAATTAAGCTGTGAAATAGTCGTAATTAGAAAAAAAATCATAACAACAATTTATAAGCAAAATAAAACGGCTTTCTTGAAGAATAATTTAAACTCACAACTAAATTGTTTTAAAATCAGTACTTTTTTACATTGCGAATGCTTAAATGAACTGTTGGTGAAAGTTTTTTTAACTGAAATTAGTTTCAAATGCCACCAGCTTCTCTTCCACATACCAAGAAAACTTACCTCTCTGCAGTTCTCTATTTCAGTAGTTCGTAATAATTATTCGTGCCTTCTTAAACTCGCTTTAAATGGTGTGCAAACATTTACATATACATACTCGTACGTGTATATTTAATTTTAGCTTTAAGGTGGAGTTAAACAGTTAAACTATGCTTAACATACATGCATACATATATCGGCACTTGGCCTGCATTTTTTTCTTTTGCAATTTAAAAACTTATCCGTATATGCACCTTTATTTCGAAAATTAAACATTACTGGCATACACATGTTTACCGTAATATTGCAAATACTCGTATTATATTATAAAATAAGCTAATATAAATCTTAAAATGTTCTAATATATTTAGTATATGGTTATGTAGTGGTATTGTAACGGGAACTATGTACATAAATCTCTAACCTAACCAATTAACCAGAAAACTAACACCAAAATTGAGTAATTTTCATTTATTTGTATTCTGAGCACCCATAGCTAAAATATTTTAAATATTTATCTTTTCCATTAATTTTTTGATTATTTAGCTTTCAAAATTTTTTTTGCAAACAGCACAAAATTATCAGTTTATTTATTGTATATTTTTGGCAAAACTTTTTTGTATTAAAAACCATTTTTTTTTTCAATTTCTTTAAGTGCAATAACTATTTTTATATAAATAAACGATAAATAAATTTATTTAAAAAAAATACTAATTAATGCAAAGGAATGGATTTTTTATTTATTTAATTAAATATGTAAAGAAAAAGTTCACGTTAATTCTTCTTCTTCTTTATTGATGTTGGCACTGTTTACGCAATTATAACCGATAATTAAACCGACTAAGATAATTATTATTTTTATTTTAATTTGTTGAAAGTTTTTTTTTCATAATAAAAATATTTTTGGCTAAATAATACTTTTTTTAAATATTTAAATCATGCACAAAATTAATAAACAATATTGTGAGTGCTCATTATAATAATTTTCTTAAATTAAATATTAAAAAAATATTAAAGAAAAGCAAATATAGGTTAAAAATTATTATTAAACTTTTCACCCCAACAATTTGTTACATAATTTTAAGCACTTTGGCTTAAAGAGAGAGAACAAGCTAAAACAAGCGTATTAAATGATGCTATGTTTTATAAATTACTATAATTTTTTATATTTTGTTATAATTATTATTTTTAGTAATTATATAAAAACTTAAGAAATGTATTTTTAAAGAAATGCCACAATTTTTAATTAAAGAGTGTATTTTTTTTATAGACGATTTCGAATATTATTTTTGTTTGATTTTTTAATTTGAATGTGAATTTTTTTTACTTTTATTTTTAATATTTTTTCTTTTTGATTTTTCATGTAGTAAATATTGCGCTAAGTTTCCATAGTCTACATATATTTATAATTCTTTAAGCTTATAACAAGTAATTATAACTAAAATTTACATACATACATACATACATACAAACATATGTATGTGTATGTATATATTTGCTTCGACGCGTTTGCTGCGCGCTCTTTGCTCTCACAGAATCACAGAATTACAGAATCACAGATGAGTTAAATCACTTGTACACAGCCAAGTTGAACAATTGCATAATATGTACATATGTATGTCCATAAATTTTGCACAAAACTGCATGTGTAGCACACAGCGGCGGCGCACTGAATAGTATCGTATTTGTTTTTGTTGTTGTTGTTATTATTGTAATAATGCATTAAAATTAATTTTTTCTTCATACATATAAATACAATTCAAAGTTATTCCACATTTGTATGTATGTATGTATTGTTAAGTACGTGTGCGTGTGCGTCTGCGAGTGTCAATACACTTTGTAGGCAGAAATTATTTTTATATTAATTTTCTACCGAATTTAATTGTGCATATATATACACGTATACATATATATGTACATTTAATTTCATTTCATTATTTTATATATTATTTCTCTCTTCCCTTACTTTCATATGCATTTGTTTGTACTGGTTATAATTTGTGCGTGTGCAACAAACCATTCCTACTCTTCCTCACACCACACATACACGTATGTATGTATGCGCATACATACAAGTACCTGTACGCTGTGTGCAATATGTGTGTGATTCTTCTATCAACATTAATTCTCCAAAACACATACCATACATACATACATACATACATACATACATGCATACATGCATTCATATATTACCTATGTACCGTATATATATACATACATGTGTATATGTTGCATTGCGATATATGTATGCGTGCGCGGAAACACGTATGTATGTATGGACGTAGCGTCTTTCAATCAGTTGGTGTTGTGGCAATGAGAATTTGCTTGTGAGTACAAACAAATTAAAAATAAATTCAAAAATTTAAAAAAAAAAAAACAACAACAACATTTTTTTTTATAATTTTACCCTTTAGCCATATAATAATAGTAGTACATATAACGTATACATATATGTATCTAGTATTTTGCGCAGCAAAAGTTAAATTGTTTTAAGAAAGTATTCAAATAAATGTTTTTTTTATTATAACTGCAACTAATTAATAATTATTACTAACCATCTTTATGTAGCGAATTATTACAAATTAATACATATTTTTATAAATAATTTATAAATTTGCTTGCTTGTTTGTCTGTTTAATGATTGGTTCGTTATTATCATTCGCGATTTCACTATTTCAAAAAGAGTTATTTAACAAACTTTTTTTTTTGGAATTTTAAACTAATTTTCTGTTTTTTTACTATTCTCCCCGTTCCTTGTTTGTCTTGCTTACTGATTGAAGTTCATTTTCATAAAGTAGTAACATTCGAAATTAACATAACACAATTTTCAAACTAATAATTAACAAACTGTGTCAAAAGGCAATAGCTGAAACCACAAATGTGTTAAATATTTACTACAAATTATAATTTTTTTCTCAGAATCTTCTAAGAAATAGACTAAAATTTCCTTAAACTAAAAAAATGCCTTTTCAAATTTGGATATTTAAATATAGAAGGAGTATAAATCTAAATAACTTTTTATATAATGCTAAAGAAACATACAAACAAAATTAAAAAAATCCCATTTTTTAACACTTTTTATCATTAAAATATTAAGATCAAAATACAAATGATAATTTCACATGTACATACTTAAATAAATATTTTTTTTATAATCTAATAGATAATCCATAGTTTGGACCAATCCAAAAAGCCGAAACATTATTATTATTTTTTTTTAAATGAAAACTCATACAAACGAGTACATATGTATTTGTACCATATAAGATTTTGTGGTTTAAGCTAATGATTTTTGACTATAGTAGTGTAGTAAAAACAAAAGTAGTGCTGGAAAATTGGAAAAAGTAAAAATAATAAAAAAAATTAAAATTTTGAAATAACAAAATTTGCAAAGGTTGGAGCTTGAAAAATAAGGAACTTAAAAAAAATTATTCAATACAAAAATTGGAAATTAAATGTTGTAGAACATTAAAACAAAAAAGTTAAATAAATTAAAACTTCAAAATAAAAACGTTGATTTACTGAAAGTGTTTTGATATTATTTATTTTTCTTCGATAAAAAAATCTTATTTAAATATTTCAAATTTTCAAATTACATTAAACAAAAAAGTCCCTGCACAAAAGTTAATTTACAAAATCGAACTAAATTTATTTTAAGAACTATTTGCACAAGTTTTTTATTGATTTTTTTTTTGTCTTTTTCTAATTTTCCAACATCTAGCACTTCTCTACTCACCACATGTCCGCAGTTTCATTGAGAGAAAAAAAAATATTTTTTCGATTGCTTTCCTCACACATTTTAATAATAATCAGTTTTCTTTCTTTTTTCTTCCATTTCCATTTTTTCCCATATATGACACATCTAGCTGCGCAAACAAAGTCGCTTTAATGCACGTAAAAAATTCCAATTCGCCATATTGGTCATACGCGCAATGATTAGAATACGCCGACTGCGCTACACCGCCGAACCGTTGCGCGTCGAAGAGGCTATACGCGATCCCTACAGGGTTAAGGTGTTGCGTAAGGTAAGTGGCGGGATTAAGGAAAGAATCAAATTCAATTGAAATAAATTGCAGAATAAATAAAGGGGATAAATAAAAAAAATATTTAATAAATAAATATGCAAAATATGCAAAATATAAAAATATAAACAAAATTTATCGATAATAAAATTGAATAAAATTGCAAATTAATATTTAATTAAAAAATAACAAAAATTATGTTAAATTCAGAGAAAATAACAATAAAATAAAAGAAAATTAGATTAAAATAAATAATACTAAACTTAAAAAAAAAAACAAAAAAAAAACAAAATTATTAAATTAAATTGAATAAAAATGCAATAAAAGCAGTGAAGTGAAGAAAAAAAAATTGAACGAAAAACTACAAAAACAAAGGTTTAAAACTAAACCATAAAATAAAATAAAAAAGATTTTTACAAGTTTCTTCATTCATGTACTTTCTCCATTCTCTCCTCCGCACAGGTAATCGATGGCTGCGCTTTCCGCGTGTACGGTCATTGGGTGAAGAAGGGCGAGGGTCAAAATCGTGCCGCACTCTTCGAGAACACGCCACGCACAGAGTTGCATGCGCTCTATATCAACAATCTGAGTCGATAGTTTGAGTAAAAACGTTAAGGAAAAAAGCTTTAACCAAATTGAGCGGGAAAATTGAGGGAGTGTGTAAAACCCTCCGACGTGGAAAGTGAAAAATGTTGAAATTTATGAATTAATCAACCGTTAGCTATAAATTTTGCTTGCTTACTTGCTATTAGCGTTTAGAAAGTTGGAAGAAAGAGGGGCAACTCTTATACAAAATATTATTATTTTAGCTGCTAAGTTTGCATAATAAAAAGAAAGAAACAGAATTTCTTGAATTCAGCCATTATTTATAATGGTTTATTTGCACTATTGAAAAAGAGTAGTAATTTTATTTATTTTTCTTTTCGACAATAGTTAGTAGACATGTAAAAATATACAGACATAAATACATACAGATAACTTTTGCTAAAAAAAAAGCAATTAATACATTTAAGTACGGCCAAGAAGAAATGCCAAGTTAATGAGAATATGTGAATGGAATCAAAAACATTTTTAACTGATATTAATGCATTGTTTAAATTTTGCTTTAGTTTGTATTATTTATCTATATAGTTTAATTTTGTTAAACACTAAAGCTTTGTATTTTTTAAGCAAATGAAGAAAATACGTGTAATTCGAAAACCAAATGAAATATAACGAATTCATATGTACGCACTCTACAATGCATGTATGTACATATGTGGGCGTAAAGAGTATATATGTACATACATATGTATGTTGTTAAGAAACAAATTATCATTTTATATACATTCTCAATGTTAACACTAAACTAAATTAATTTACGTAAAAATAGCAATAATAATAAAAAAGCTGAAAACAACGGTGCGAAAACACACAACATACGAAGCGAATTGTTTAATTGTTGTACGTTAAATACAATATGCGTACAAAGAGGAGGGAATAAATTCGAGTTTTTATAGCACAGGCCAGTTTCGCTTCGTTTCTATTGTAATTTGCTGCATAATTTTCATATATTTTGTCTGACAATAGATTGCATTATATATTTAATATTTAAAAATTTTTAAAAATTTAAAATTTTTAGTGAATTTTCTTTGACAAATTGCCTCATGCAACTCATTTATAATAAACACTTATTCACATAACACATAACAGTCATTTATAGTAAAAATGTTTAAAAATAAATAGAAAACAATTTTTAACAAAAAAAAAATTGCCCTAAATTAATTGTTAATTTTTTTATTTAAAATTGAGAAATAAATTTAAAAAATAGTAGTTTTGTATAAATATCAAAATATAAAATTTGCACTCCGCACCAAAGTGTTTCGTTAAGTAGTCTTTTATGTTAAGTCTTTTTTTTTTTAAATTATAAAATTAAAAAAAATTGTTTTTCTTTGTGCTGAAAACCTGAACTAAGGAAATGTTAGCGAAAAATACTCAAGAACTTTAAAACGGAATTGAAAAGATGATTAGCGAAAAACGCCACGCATGCTGCTATGCGAAGGAACATGAGTTCAAATCCTGACGAAGTAAACCAACTTATATTACCATAACAAAAAAATTAAAATTTCGCATTGAATTCTATCAGCACTTCGAAAATGGAGGATAAATTTCAAACACATATTTTTTATACATATGCAAAAATGTATCTAATGTATGTCATATAGTGTTACATAGAAAAGCGGGAGGGAAAAACACTAAATGAAAGTAAACTTGAATAAAATGTAACTCTCAGTACCTCTAGTATTTGAAAACGCTATATAAACAGGCGCACCTATGTGGTTATGCAACTAATTATTAATCTTCAAATTCAAAAATAAATATAAACATTTATGGAAATCAACGAAAAAGTTTGAAATTTTGACATAGAAAAATTGTGGAAAAATAAAAAATTTAATAAAAACTCACAATGTTGGTAAAAAAATTAAATTCTTGTTTACTTGACTCTGATCACAATCTGAGCCCAACAACAAATCAGTATAACTTCCAAAAAGTGCACAGTACCATCACGGGTCGTCTACGTCTAAAACGCCACTACTTTTGATTAGCGCCCGTTCAAACAGCCCGTCGCTTATGTTTCCCTTCCACATAGAAAGTGTAACTACCGACCCTTAATTCATTATGAACGTCAGTGTAATCTTAGCTTACCTACCTTAAAACTCCTTTTACTTCTTAAAAAAAAAAAACATATTTTCAATTCCCTCTTACAGCCCAGTGACATTGAAAATGGCATAAGCATCCGTTTCCTAAAAGTATGCAACACAAACATAACGTTTACGTGGGCACCACTTTATCTTAGGTGTGTGTGTGTGGGTGTGTATGTGACACGGCAAATCCGCTGATACCTGCTAGTCACTTCTTTCTGCCTAGTACAAATAGGGCAAAATTCACTATTGGAAATTATAATGATTGCCCCCACAGGGTAACCCATATAAATAATATTTTTAAAAATTCTTTAAGAAAAATATGAAAAAGATTTTCTAAAATTAGGGTGGCTGGACTAATCAGTAGAAAAGATTTATTGGTGAAAATACATTTCTGCTTTGCTCGTGTAGTTCATGCTACAAACTAACGAAAATGCGTAAGATTTTTAACAGGTTTGCCACAAAGGCCACCCGTATAGACTGCCATAGACATCCAACAAATAGCTAAGTTGCCGTAGATTCCGGCATCATACATACCGACTTGAGATGCTGGAATCAAAGGCTATGAGGTTGTGAATGAAAATGAGCGTAAAAAATGAAAAGAAACCACTCAAACTTCACCAACTGAACACGAAAGTGCACCATGAGTTCCAAATCTTCCATCTCTTTGTGTTAACCAAACTCAGCTCGCGTTTTAAAGCGGCGTTACTAGACAGGGAAAACACCTGTAGAGCAATGGTTTTTAACATCTTGGATGATTGTAGAACTTTTAAGCTTGATGGCAAAAAAAGATCTGCTACATTCATACCGGGCCCAAAGTAGCACCCGTTGGTAAGAGTTTGATTATCAAAGCTGATACTGCTGGTGATGTTGATATTGTATCCTAAATAGGCAAAGTCCCTTAAAACTTGGAAATTGTGACTGCCAACAGCGACTTCGGTTTGTTTCCAGATGGTAGTTAGTTTTTTCCTTTCCACCCGCGGGACCAATCTTTTTTGCCGTCTTCCTTAATCAACAGAAAGTCGCGCTAATGTGCATACATACACGTACATATAATATATACAAACATACAAATGTATCATTCATGTTGGACGTCAAATATCCAGGAGAAATTCGGTATGAAAAAATCACATTTTAAAAAACAATTCTCTTAGCAGTAGCTCTTCTGCTGGCATTGTCTGCTTGACTCCTGTTTCCAATATGCTTCAATTAAATCATGAAATCACATGCAAACACACATTCACCAGATCACACTAGTACAGTTCAAACGGCGCTTTTTGACAAGTGCATGCTTGTTTAGCATTTGCCCTACTTTAAGCTAGCAAGCAAGCAAGCAAGCACACAAGCGACTCCTCAATCAGCAAATAACCCAATTCACATATAAACACATGTTCCCCGTTGCATATGCATATGTATGTATATGCTCATACTCATACACGAGTATGTAAGTTAGTCCCGGTGGGGGGGGGTTCCTCAGCACCGTTCTTTGTGCTGAAATTGAAAAAGAAGTTTTCCTATCATTTTTATTTTTATTAAACTACTTTTCACAACCGTAGCAAAAGAGAATGTCAGCAGTAAGTGTTGCGCGGGGCAGGCGCAGAGAAAACAAGAAAGGAAAATTTCGTTCATGGCCACTGCCAGGTGTTGATGATGTTACTTGTCTTGTGCCCAACAGCAAATGGTGTGAGTCCTCGAAGCGCGCCGTTGAATTGAATTTGACACCGGAGCTTATGGCTAGACCATGTTAGATCACTTTTACAGCCTTTTAAACTCGATACCAATCACCAGTATCCTGTAACCTTACTCCCTCACTTACCACACTAAGGTAAGGTTTTCACCGTGTTGTTGGTTTGTGCGGAATAAAAGATGTTGGGTTGTTGGTGCAATATTAACATTCAATCATGTCAGAATTCAATCACCTGGAGAAGAAGTTGCCGAAGGTTTTCAAAGGAGAAAAGGGAACTTGGAAAGTCCCTTATCTTTGTATGCAGGTGACCTGGCTCTGGACATGACAGCATTATTTTTAATAATATTTGTCTGAAATCACATGTAAAATATGAAATGAATTTCATTACTTAAAATTTTTTTCATAACTAAAAAGTAAAATTAATAAAAATAAAACAGATTAGGGAAGATCATAAAAATTACTTAATCATTTCGTTTAGAAAAATAACAGTGTCATGCATTAGCCAGAAGTTAAGCGAAAACGACAGCGTCACATCAGCCGATCTGGCGGTTAGCTATCCTCCAGTTACAAGTTAAGTTAATCGGAAATTGTGAAAACGGCTCTAAAAAAGACTGAGACTGTGATCTCTTTTTTACGCTTTCTGTCGTAACGCAACAACAAAAACACAGTTATAACTTATAACGTTATTTAACTTTTTTCTATTTACTTTGAAAAAGCTTGAATTGCTCCTTTTAAATCGATCTACATAACCTATAAAAAAATGTAAGCCTTCATAAATTTGCTAGCGGGTGTACTTTGTTGTGAGATGCTGTTTGTTGTTTGCTGTTTGTTGGCATCTAAGTTGATAGCCGAGAATTTGGCGCATGCGCAAATGTTCTTTGACGCTGTCACGGTGTAGTTGTGTTTGGAGTTAGACGAGTGCGTATTTGCCGCGTAAAATATATTCGTTTATTTTTATTTTTTATTACAATACTGTAATGTGAAAGTGTTAGATTAAAAATGAAAAAATTTAAAAAATTAAAAAAAAGGTAAATTTAAATAAAAAGTTACAAAAAAAAATTATAAAACTCTGATTTTCCATTAAAATCTCGCAATATAAAATTATGAGTTAAATGATAAGGTGCAAAATGAAATAAAAAAAAAAATAATAAAATTAATCAGATTTCATAAATAAAAACCATTAAAAACAACTTTTTGTGTATGTCAATTTTTATTTTTGCGAATGCCATTAAATGAGCGCAATATCCGAAAAAAATTCAACTATATGACACCGGTAAGTCATTTGTGAAGAATTTTATGAATTTTTCCATTTTTTATTACCGCATTTTAAATATTTTTTTTATTAAAATATAAATAATTTCTTTTAGCCATTGGTTTTTGTTATCACTTATTGAAAATATTAAACTCATAGAGAATTTCAGATAAACTATTTAAATAAAAATAAAAAATTATCTCAAAACAATTCCTAATTGATTAAGTGCTCGATCGTGTTTCTTCCGCTAAATTGCCGAGGACGTTCTTGTATATGTCCTTATTAATATATTTTTAGCCTAAATAAGTAAATCTATTGTGATGAATTTTTCCCTCTTTCATGTCTCCCAAGATTTAATTTAAATTTATTTTATTTTCTCTGATTTTATGAAAAAAAAAAAATTACCTACCAACGATTGTGTTTGAGCGGGGACCGGGAACTTAATAGAAATGCACAATAGCCCTGATAAATTGTACATATATGTATATGTATTTATTTCTGTTTACATTAACTTTTCTATTTAGTTGAGTTCATTGCTTCATAAATTTCGTTATTCGAAATGTTTACAGTTAAAACTCCAACTGCCAATTTCTGTAACTTTTTTTTTTGGCAAAAAACACATGTTCACAACTTAAATCAACTTAAAGAAATAACTCTCCATAGTGATGCCACTTTTTTCTCTTATTTCATAAAGGTGGTCTGAAAACTAATGAAAGTTGAATGGAATTTAAATAAACTTAAGCTTCAACGCTATTAGAATTAAAAAAAAAAAAAAAAAAAAAAAAAAAAAAAATTCCGCAAAAAGTTGTCGACTACTTCGCCTCTATTGTGAATAACGCAACGCAATGTCACAACTGCGCTTTCTCGGTACAAATTTTACTGACTTCTTGCTTCACCGAACGCGGTTCAGTAACATTCAGTAACAATTTTTACTGCCCTTCAGCCTGTCAGGTCATCGAGCAAAGCTTAAGTTTGCCTACACTTTTTACTTTTATCAATTAAAATTTTATTTTTTTTCGTAAATGTATAATAATTATTAGAATAAAGTTTCCTATTTTGCACTCGACGAATTAATATATTATATATATGTACATATATTGTATGTAAATGAAATTTTTTGTGTAGTTGCTTGTCTACGCAGATAAGCTTAAGACGATTGACACCTTGAAGGAGAATATTCGAAGTATCATTGCTGTAAAAAGTGATCGAAAGTTGGGTCTCTTGGCTGAAATATATTCGAGCGATCTGCGGCGGTCACTGGCCAGAGATCATTTTTAAGACATAATGGCAAGCTGAACTGAATTCTTAGTCATAACATTGAATTACGCGCGTTTTACTTCTTCTTGAAAACCACATGTCTATTTGGAGGATTTCAGCGCAGTTCAACCTAACCTAAAATGATGCGATAAAAGCCTTTAAGTTGTAGCATTATAACAGTTGATTTTATTCAACTGTCAAGTCTCGTAGAATTTTTTTGGGACAATTTACGCCA